GTTGGTGAAGAGCTCCGTGAGAGAGAAAAAGAAAGACAAACGAACGAACAAAAAAAAAATAAACATAACAAATAAATAATAGCATTTATATGATTTTAGAGAGAAAAAAAACCAACAACAACGTCTCATAGATCATTTTGTGAAGGCTATGCCGCAATATACAAGATGAATGCAAAATTATAATTTATATTGTATTAAATCATCGCTGGAATATTCGAACCGCAATCAGGCGAGGTGAGAAAACGAAAAATTCAATGGAAAACCGATGTGTAGATTCTATATGATATAGAAAAGTGTTCGTGGTTGTTAGTATTTTTTTTTTCTTTGCAGTTTCCTGATCGTATTCGAGATCAACATTGTCGTTGTTTCTAACTTTTGTCTCAGAATTAATCAAAATTTCATTGAAATAGCAGCTCAATTTAAAAAAAAAGGAAAAATGGCATTACATTTTCATTAAGTTTTTATACAAATTCCACTCGTGTATCGTCATAATGTATCGCCATATCGATCGCAGAAAAGAAAAAAAAGCAAACCGAATATTTCAATCATTTACTTTTTTTGTTTTTCATTTAAGATAAACATTGATAACTCGGATCGTGTGCCGTGCCATGCCAAAATTATTCGTTCGAAATTCATTTGTAACATTGTCATTTAATTTTATTGTGGCTTTTTTGGGTGGGAACATTGTATTGAATATATCTGAAACACGGGGCACAACATGTCATTTGGCATTGAGCGAGCGCAAGTGAGTGGGGGAGAGAGATAGAGTGAGAGAGAGAGAGAGAGGAGAGAAAAAGGGCGCATGTAATTCACGATCAAAGGTCATAAAAAATGCTAGGTGTTCGATACACAGATGTAACAATTCGACAATGTGGTGCTCATTTTTCACTCAATTTGAATACATTGGTAAAGTATATTGTTCATGATGTGTTAATTTTTGTTGTCAAAACTAAGAATTTGCTATAAGAAACATACGCATACATTCAATCGTCATTCGGAAACGGTATGGACCGAAACAGCTTTCAGTCAATCTACAAAAACTCAACATAAACAATATACTCATATTATATATCTCTGCATCATTGAAAACGTTCTCTTCTTTCATGCCCATTGTAATGCGATACATACACCAAAAGTAAAAGGACTGTGAAGAGTGAAATGCTTGTTTGCCTTAGCTTGTGAATTCAGTGGAGTATTACACATTTTTCGAGCGCACAAAAACGCACATCCTTTTGCATATTGCATTGCTAGTACATTACGTAGTATTGTTAAATGATGTGTCTTGTGTATTATATTGTGTATTTTGTTTCTCTCCTTCTCTCTCAGTCTTTTCCGCTTACATTTTGTGGAAATTTCCATTTATGTCAAATAAGAATGTCATAAAAAAAGAATCTTGTTCCCTTTTGCACAATCAACCGGCACATAATAATTTAAGACAATGATGTTTGCTTAATGTGGCATGCAATGTATCGGCTATAGAATTGTTTCGACCTGTGAAACATAAAGCGCTAAAGAGAGAAAGTTTCAGAGGAGAATTGTATGAGGAAATCATCTTGTAGTGAATAAGCCGAAAATTTAATTTCAAAACAAAACTATTTACGAAAAACTCATGCTGAATGTTTTGATGTTTCGATAAAGGAGGGAAAAACACAAACAAAACAAAGAACAGTGAAAGTGACAATGTGGACGACAAACACGAAAACAATAACAATAAAAATTCACCACCGGCACAATTCAGACAACTGTTGAACTTTACACATAATCGAGAGTGAAGTGCGCATCATGTTCACTTGCCTGCCTTTTATCACATACACTGGAATTTTGCACATATATTTCAATTCGACCAAAATAAATTCATAGAAATATACTATATTTTAAAGGCAACCGGTATGAATGGACAAACAACTCGCTCGCTGTGTGGATGAATGTGTAAAAAAAACGGGAAAAATGTGCACATTTTCGATTCCACTCAGAGGAGCACAGGTCTTGGTTTGTGTTTTCCGTTCGCTTTTTTGTGTGTGTTTCAGAAAACGAAGGCTTTATTTTATATGAAAATGACTAGCTTTAAGAGCTTCGAACAGTTTTCGTGTTATTTCATAACGAAAAGTCAATCGTGCATCATGAGCAATGAGAAGCATTTCCGAAATGTATTTGCTGGGGTAAGTTAACGAGAGACCGTAAAAAAAAGTAGAGGGAATATAGGCATATACACTGATAGAGAGAATAAAATGAATGAATAAATGAAAAACATGCTTTTGCACATTACCAGATCATTTCCGTTTGCATATTTCAATATTTAATTGTATTTGGCTCATCCTTTCATTCGCCGGAATCGACTTTATGAATTGAATTTTAATTAAAATCACATTTTCTCGAAATTTATTCGCCGGCATTAGTGAGTGAGACAGAGAAAATGTATTTGTGACGTAAAATAGTTTGTATTCAATGCTATGGAACATGTTTGAGACACATTGGCTTTTGTGGAGTGCAATGTGTTTTCATTCCCTCGACAAAATTCAAAAAACAGATGCGTATATCCGTAATAAAGAATCAAATGAAAAAAAAGAGGCAAATCTTCTCTCTTTTCTTTCGTTCCTTCTCCCTTTCTCTCCCCCTTTCAATGTCAAACTATAAGTTAAGGAACAACCTGAAGTTAATTCATTTTTTGGATGACTGTATGGCACGTTTATTCGAAATGAAATGCGAAAAAAAGACCAAAGCCGCCGTACACTCTTGAACAATGAGCAATTTGACTTTGGGTTTGAATGAATTATATATATATATTTTCTCTTTTTCATAATATTCAGGTTCTTCGTTAAGCCATTTCTTTGGTTGTAACTTCTGCATTTATTTGACAGAAGATTTCTTAACGTTTTCGGTGCTGATTGAATTGCCTTTCATTGTGTGCTGTTGAATATGTGAAATTCGACTATTGTTCTCAACTATTGATGGTGATAGTATAACATTTAAGCGCATAAGTAAATGTATAATATGTGTAAGAATACTAAATGTTTACTACACGGAAAGAGCACCATTTGCATACGGTACACAGACGAAATTCTATAAATCTCAATATAATTTAAAATAAACTGGAATTGATTGTATTAAAAATTGAGCGAGTCTGAATTGTGAGAATGTGCGTGATCATTCTGAGCTCATTTGATCGTGTTAAAATAAAATATATGTGTGTGTCTGGTTCAATATCGTACACAGACACGATTGCCGGACACAAATGTGCCCTGAATTTGATTCATTCTCTTTTTTTTTCATCTCGTTTTATTCATCTGTGCAATTTAAGTCTCGAGACCGATCATCAGTCCGATCGTATACATCAAAATTTATTAAGCATATAGTTATAAAGCATATACATATTTATGATTTTCCGTTTTCTCATTCGTTGTTTGCTTCAGTCCGCAATCCGATCCAATTGTAAACTTTATTCTTTACTTTTTATTTCTAGTTTTTCTCTCTGTCTGTCTATCTTTATGTCTGTCTGTCTGTCTCTCTGTTGCTCACTCACTTGCTTATTTCCTTCTCTTTCGCTGACTCCATTCTCAATCCGAATGTTTCAGGGTCAGATAAAAATTTCTAACATCGATTTCCTCATATATGTAAATATTTCATTTAATTTAATTTTTTTGTTATTTGTTATTTTATTTTTGATTTTAGTTTATTATTTTTTCAATCAATCGTCATATGGTTCATATTAACGCGTAGTTTATTGCGATCACTGTTTCTCAATGTATGATTTGGTTTTAATATAAAATTCTTCATACAAAGAGTGCACATATGTGTCTCTTCTTTCAATTAAGTCATTTTAAACGTTAAGCTTTTCGAAATACGTGTTGTTTTGATGATACTTGCGCATTAAATTTGTTACTTTATTGAAGAAAAAAAAAATAGTGTATAAGCGCGAAAAAAAATCGGATGTTTTTTCATCTTCATCTTTCTTATTATAGCCACACATAACTCCGTATGAAATTAAGCGAAATATTCTATTCGTATGAAGAAACGTGCCCATTAACAGTCGCACAAATCAACCAATATACGAAATATCGAGCTGGAGAATATAAAAAGTAACTAATCGCCAATTCGATACTAATAGCAATCAAGTGCGACCATCATTTGGCCCATACAATGAATCAAATATTGATAATAATTCTTTCGTTGTTTTTTTTTTTCAGATCATTACTGATGTATTGAATGTTGTTGAGAATTGTAAAAAAGGGAGAGAGAGAAAAAAAACAATCTTTAAAAAAGATACTGAACACAATGAACACGAATCAGTTGAAATTGTCTTTGAGCATGTATTTATATGTATACATAAACATAAACATACACAGTTATATAGTACATCGTATGTGAATAGATCAATTATTATTATTACATAGATATGCATCATTCTTCATTCATAACATTCAAAACTCAGATGAAAAACTAACAACGCCAAGGAGAAAACTAAAACGATCAAAAAAAAAAAGCAGAACGCTGAGCATTTGAAATGCTGAAAAGCAACTAACTTATACGAAACGAGCAATTCAATGAAAGCACATTGAAGAAATAAAACATAAAACGAATTCTTGTTGTTAATAATTTCGATAGACTTATTTACAATAAATTTAATACTTAACGTTAGTTCCCTTCGTTCTATCTTTTATATTTTTCGATTCGGTTTACTTGTATTACAATGCATTGAAATCGTACTTGACGGTATATATATATATATATAGATATTCATCAAACTAACTCGAATCAACGATATATTCATTTCATCAGTTTCATTTGAATTAAGTTTATTTTTCTCTTCGTTCAATGCTGTAGTGAATGATTTGATATATGTTTTGTATGAGGAGCAACATTTTTATTCCTCTTTCATGAAATAAATTAAGAAATTAAGTATATGACCTCCTCAAACCAATTCAAATCAAACTTAAAATTATACATTTATTTCTTCTTCTTTTAAATTATAGTCAAATGAGGTTTTTTTTGTCTCTACTTACTCGTTCTTCTTCACGTATCATTTCGGCTATGCCTGGTTTAATCTCACAGTCATCCGAATTGGTATTTGGTAAAAGAGAGGCCATGGTCAATGGATCAATCGAACCGGCCGCTGAAAGGAATGGCGGCATACATTTCGAGCTACTTTATCGAGTTTGAAAATAGACGAAGAATATTTGTTTTAAGAAAATTGACAATACAAATACATACATTTTTGGTTTTGATGAAAAGTGCATAAAATGAAAATAAAATGTGGTCAATTTTGGCTAAAAAAATAATTGACTACTTACGCAGATTCGGATTGTGGTGCTGGTGATGCGCTTACATCGCTGCGCTGATCCAAGGACAATGGGCTCGATGTGGTTCGTTTTATTTCAGCCGATGGACATCGTCTTTTACGATTTGTGAAATGACGTGATGATGATGCAAGCGATGCTTGTTGTGATGATGACGATGATGATGGTGTGGATTGTTCACGTTGCTTATGCTGTTGCATTGAAAGATGCTCTGATAAATCCATATTATTGATTTGCCATTCAGTTCGTGCCGTTATTCGTTTTTTTGTAGCTGGAATCGAATCTGTTTAAAATTCATTTGCAATTAATGCCATTTCAAATTTATATTCAACCATTTAAACTTTTCAAATTGTGACCAAAAGGAAAATGTGATTGAAATGTTTTCACATGAAAAGATTTATCATCAAATATTTATTATTGATTTTGCGAGAGAGAGAAAAAAGAAAGAAACTTACCAATGTTGGTATTGTTTTTAGTTGTAACGGTTGATGGTGTAACATCGGTTGCATCGTCATTGGTGGTCGATTTTTCCGATTCCGAATTCAAATCAAGATCACTTTTAACATCGGCCAAACCGCGAATTTTCAGCATTTCAGCGACACGAAGCAATGGTGCAATTTGCTCTTGACGCACATTGATCTCGCCTTTGTACATGAATTCAACGACCGCCGTCAATTCGGGCCATTTAACATCACGCATTATAACGATCGGATGTTGACACGGATTATCAAAGAATAAACTTTGAAAGTATGGCGAACATGCGGATAATACCATTTTATGGGCTTTTATTGAATTGCCATCACAGGCCAATGTGACATCAACAAATGATTCATTTTGTAGCAATTGATCGAATACATTTGTTAAATTCGATTGATAATTGTTCCAACGTAAGCAAAACTGTTGCGGATTCTTGTTGTTATCAATGATTGGTTTAATGGGTGCCTTTGTTAGTGGCGGTGTATGCGGTGAAGGTGAACGATTTTGCAAATGTTCGTCTTTGATCGGCGATGGCGATGGTGCCACTTCGTCTCGTTCACCGTCAATCGATGATAGATTTGCTGGTATTTGAGCCATTGCTGACGGTGCCGGTGGTGTCAACGAAGCACGTGGTGACAAGTCGGGCGAGGTTGGCGTTTTCGACATTTTCTCGTCAAATCCCCCTCTTTTATTTTGTTATTTCAATTGCTTTTCTCTGTCGTCGTTGCAAACACAAAGCCGTTACCGTTTTTCTTGCAATCGAAATTTTCGGAATACACTTCAAATGCTATTTGAAACAATAACCAAACAACTAAAAACACACAATTTACGTTAGTGCACTGTTGTTGTTGTATGTTGTATGTCGTAATCGTGTATTTGGATCTTTTAATTTTCTTTAGATATTGATATGCACATGAGTTTCATACGTTGAATTATGCCTCTTGAATTTTGTTACTACACACTTTTACGACGCAACTTTTCCATTTTCTTGTTCTTTGAACTCGTAAAAAGTTTTTCACGTTATTTGAATATACAGCGTTGAATATATTCAGTGTACTTCAAGATCGGCAATCAAAGGAGACTATTATGTATGCACAAGTATAGATATGCCAACCCGTTCATTGAACACTATTTTATACAGTGGCCTTTTTTTAGATTAAAATAACATCAAACGACAGTAAATGTTTGCCAATTTTGACACAGTTCACACGTTATAATATATCAAGTTTATTCTTGTTTATGTCTCAATTTATACTCTCTTTTTTTCCTTGAATCAATTCACTTTTTTTTACAGCTTCAAAGAATATTATGTCATTTGTCGGTTTTGATTTATCAAAAATCGTCACTTTTTATTCATTAATTTCAAGTTCAAATGTTCACAATAGCACGAATCTTCGATTTGTTTATAGTTCAAATGACATTATTTGCAAATGAACAAATGGTCTGAAATTAAAACTGAAGTTCCCGCACAAAATAAAAAATGAATACACACAATCTGCAAATGCACACTAATTGAATTCAATTTATTTAAAACAGAAAAATCGTTTTCGTTTCAATGAAAATGTGTTACTCAAAATATCGATAACGATTCGTCTGAAACTCAAAGCATATAATATTGTAGCGTGTTTTCAATTATTTGTAAATTCACACTAAAACAACACGACGTTCAGATGCACACTGAACACTCGGTTCTTTTTATTTTTTCCACAAACTCCAAATAAAGCAAAACACAATGGTATTGGTGGTAGTAATATAGTAGCGCCGCATGAATAGCACACACTGTTTCACATCCACATGCACCGATTCAAGTGTGCTGCCGTTCAGCATGTTTGAATATATCAGCTGCGGCAGCGAAATAAAGAAAGACAGAGAGCAAATCGAGGAGAGTGAACGAACGTACGTTGCGTTCATTCAATGTATAGAAACCGAATGTGTAAACGGAGAAACGAGCGATCGAAGAGGCGAATAAAACCGAACCGCACGCGATTCTCACGAACAAGAGAGAGAATAAATGTATATCCAACGTGCAACTGACATTACATACATCAACACCGCTCCGCATGTAAATATAGATGTTGTATACAAAACAAAAATGCAAAGAGCCGGTCGATTAAAACTGACTGAGAGTTTTACTCGGTTTTACTCATGTACACCGTGTTGTGTACACGAGAGTACAAAGTCTATAGCACGGTGTACGGTGCAATTGCATTGCTATGTTTTTGATTATGTATCCGAATATGTTTTACTATAAAAAGTAAAAAAAAGAAGCGACACACAGAAGGAAATAAACATAGATTTTATCATAGGGGAATGGTTCCGGAGCATCAAACGTCGTTTGATGTTGCATTTGATCGGCAGAATAACGATGCACTCGAAGAAGATGCATCTGAAACACGGATGTGCATTTATTTCGGAAGTGAAATTTATTAATCATCGTCGAACAAAGGTCACCTACATATTACATTTTGACAAAAAAAAAAAACAATATCTTTTGCATTTTTGAAAAGAAAAAACCAAAGAAAAAAAAACAATCAGTGTTGATCAACGAAAATGCAATTTGTATGGCTAAGTAATTAGAATTGTCTTTGTCGCGTGAAAAGGCTGCGATGTACTAGCGGGACGTATAAAAACATCGACAAAATCCATTGCCTCGACTCTGTTTCTCGTGCTCTTTCTATCCCATTCTCTTGTAAGTTTTGTGTGTTATATCACACGTTTCGCATTGGATGTGCATGTATTGAATTGGGAGGGCAAAACGATCCGATAGTATAGGCTATTTCTGATATGATAAGCAAGTATCACAATGCATACATGTGGCATAAGTATAAGTTTTCCCCACTTTTTTTCCAATTTCTTTCGTTTGAATATAAATGTGTTGTTATGGTAGTGTTGTTGATGTGTGCTTTTTTTTTGTTCATTTCTCTTCTCAATCGAAGCGCTTACACCGTAAGGTAATGTTTTCATGTCATACTGAGCTGTTGGCGCTGGTTGCCTTCGAAAAACTCTATCGCTGTATTTTTGGCATGATCAACTTTCCGAGGGAGAGAAAGAAAAAAAAAACAATTATTCGTCTCGTATTGATTACTTGGCCGCTTAACTCGTTGCTTGTTCGCGTACGCTCATTCACCGTCGAAAAGCCGCCGTCGTGTGAATGAGATTACCGTATTAGCAGCAACAACATCAGCAACAGCAGCAACAGCAGCCTGAAAGAGTATCGAGGTGGATGTATATTCCTCTCTGGCGTTCGTTAAAATTCGAGATGCACATTTTTGAGGAGTCGGCCGTTCTCGGTTGTTGGCTATCTCATGTACGATTGTTGCAAAAATCAAACGAAAAACAGAGAGAGAGAAACATTTAAAGAGCGAGAAAGCATAACAGTGTATGCATTGTTTTAGTTGGCGAACAGAATCGAATTGAGTGTTTCGTTTTTATTGAAAAGATCATCACATACTCAGCATATTTTGTCGCTTGTTACGATGAAGCGCGAAATGTTATTTCTTCTTCCTACAAAATATATCAATATATGCATATGTACACGTATCTGTATCTGTGGCGATTAAGTTTACATCGAAATGGCCCAACCTCTGGTAGGGGCAAGCGATTCTCGTGTACGTTGCTTTTTTTTTCATGTGTTGTATTTGTTGTTACTGTTGCTGCTGCTCCCGTTCTGGCTCTTCTTTTTTTTCGGTCGATTTTTGACGATGTAAATGCATGTTACTTTATACTAGATGATGTAAAATTTTAAGAAAAATGAACTCGCAATTTGACCAAATCTATAATGCATTTTTCGATGCAAATCCGTAGGAATAAAATGTGTGTCCGATTAAGAAATTATTATCTAGGAACCAGACTAGAAAAAAATATGGAATAAATGTCTTTGTTAATTTTCAAATCAACCTATTTGAGTTGTGCAACAATTTCCTATCAAATATTATGCGATTGAAAAAAGTCTCCGAATTTGTTATTTGTTCGTTTATCGTGAGAAAAATGAACTGACTGAAGTAGCAAAAGACTGGAAGAAACTGTGTTATTCTTTTTTTCCCTAAATTGTAACAATGGAGGAGGCGGTTCTTTTGAATATTTACATTCGGTATATTGCTCAATTTTTCAACAATTTTTTTTTTATTTCACCGTATCAATCAATTTAAAGAAATTTATTTCATACGTAAATAAAAATTAATTGTCGATGCATTGAAATAGATGAAACGCTTTATTCTCTCGAATTGAAGAAAGTCAAAAAAAGTTGTCACCAACAACTTCAAATAGCATATATTCCGGAAATATTGCCACTAAATTGTTAGAAATATATATAGTCGCAACTGTTGCTATGCAGATAAAACGTTATATCTCACGTTACAGGTACACACTGTTTTCATGTCACATTTTTGTGTCATTAATAATTTACTTACATGTGCCATATTCTTTTTCCAATGATAAAATAACAATTAATGAGAAAAGAGGCAGACAATAAACAAAAATGTGTGTACATTAAAAGAATTTTTGAGAAAAAAATAAGAATTTTTTTTTTGCCTAGCTGAATCGAGATGAGATCGACATATGAGAATTGGTGGGTAAATTTAAATTTAATCGACAACAATGCTGGTTTTTTGTGAATATCTGAATTCAACTGATGTTAATCAAATGTACCGAATATTATAATGGATTAGTCATTGATATCGCGTGAAAAATTCTACAGATAGATATGAACGAGTTTTTGGCGCCTATATTTGCCATGAATTCCATTGCGCATCTTGATAAAAGCCATTACACAAGCAGTATATGCATTACATTCATATGTATTTCAAAAGAGGTGCGTTCGTAATTTTGTTTAATGTTGGCCATAAAATAAACTGAACAAATAATAATTGTTGATGAACTTTTTTTTTCTCTCTTCAACAATCAAATGATAAGAGGCAAAATGTAAATGCTATAGAAATTAAACAAGAGTATATTTTCAAGTATACATGTGCAAAATAATAAACAACACGTGTCGCACATGCCCAAAATTACCGAAAGTGTATTTATTTTATGGTTGGTGTCCCGATTTTTTCTTCGTCTTTTACGTTTCCTCTTAAAGCTAGAGATTAAACGATTTTCAAGTATTTTATAATGTGCAACAATTCAATTTTCGACAAAATTTTTGCTCTCGCTTTTGATATTTGTGTATGTCTCAAGTTAAAGTGAATTGTGTCCAAATTTATTGCATATTTTGCGTTGTTGATCGTTTTTATTGCATAACATGCATCCATAGGATAAAGTCAAGGATCAATTAATGCAATGAAATGGTATCTTTTGAATTATTAAGATGGAAGAAAATTGGATGCAATTTTTATAACATGATGGCGCTGATCAATTTCTCATCATTCTGTTTATAAATGCTTTTATTTCATTTTCTTTTTGCAACAAATCATTTACGTAACTTTTGAATGGTATACGCTTCAGTTCATAACGGATGAGAGAGAGAGTGCAAAAAAAAGAGAACTTGAAAAAGAAAAGGCAAAAGAAAAAAGCGAGAGAGTGAGAGAGAGGGAGAGAGAGATTGAGTAGAAAAAAATAATACACACAGCAAATTATGTAGAAAAGGCTGAACCGAAACGAGCATGAGAAGAAACGAGCTAGAAAATGTGAGGCAAAATCAGCAATCGAATAAAAATAAACGTTAAAACCATGCACACGATAAGTTATTAGTGAATTTGCGTGAATGAATAACAGAACGGAATATGCGGTATACAACACATCGATATAATATATTTATGGAAACTCCGCCTCCGTGTAGTCGTCGTCGCCGTCATCATGTCCGAGAGTAAAGTAACACGAGAAATCTCTCGACCATTCTCTATTTATTTATTTGGGTACATACATGAGTCATATGTGATATGTGCACTACTCTGAAAGACCGTTGCCGCTGTCGTCGCCACCACCGTCACCGTCGCTGCCAACGTCGTCGTTTGATCCAACGATCCACTTACGCAAATTTTTACTTCGATTTCGGTATGCTGTTTTCAATGCCTCCAAAGCGAACAAACAAAAAATATTTCGAATCTAATTGAACAGGAAGAAATGCCCGAAAAAATCCTCTGGAAAAAAGAAAATACCAAACGACCTATTGGAGGATTTCTATGCAAAATGGACACCAACGTTCAATACGAACTCCCTATATGCATGCTGCACTCTTTTTTCAGAAAAAAAACTTTCTTTTCGCTGGCCAGCGCATTTTCTCTACCATCGATGAACGTTGTTTTTCTACACCATATATATGTACATATATGCACTTCATTCGGCTCTTGCTTCTGTATTTATTCTTCTTCTTCTTCTTCTTTTTTTATTTGCAAACGACATAAATGTTGTTTTGCATTTTCGTTTCTCGCGATACACATTGGGGATGAATGGAGCCCACTACACGAATCATGTATAACCACATGCTCAGATGCCAATACCAATGCGGTACGTGTGCAGTATGCAATTTGAGTTTTCTCTGAATAAATTTTTTTTTCCTCGTCATCCATGATTGAAATCTATTCGGTTGCGTTATTTTTCACTCGAAGCCGCTTTCGTCCTTGCCCGTTTCGTAAGTTTTTCCTTTTATGTGTTCCATAGTTTGTTGGTGTTCCTTTTTTGATGTTGTGAACGTTGTTGTTTTTGTTCCTTTCTCTCCGTTTGCATTCGTTTTTATTCT